CTATACTGTGCACCTGTTTTGGGCATTTTTATGTAAATACTTCTTTTTGTTTATGTGTTTTGCTGGCAAATACACAGCAACAAACTGCAGGGGCTTTTCAAATGTGAATTTTTAAGTGTTCTTGTGCCACAGATGTTTTTCACTTTCTCTGTTGTGATGGTRTTTTCCCATTTAAGTAATGGTTTCATGCTTAAAAATTCCTGCTTGCTGATGCTTCTAAAAGCATTTGCTAATGTTTTGAATTTTTTTTTTTAAATGAAGGCATCACTGACTCTTTGATAATAGTAATAACTAAAACGGTAACAGAAATATTGCCTGGCTATTAATTTGYTCCTAATCTGTGTATTAGAAAACTGAGGCATGAATGTGGATGAGGGATATTATCCTGTCTGGAGAAGTGGATTCAGCAAATTGTTTGGAGGAGTGGATTCTTCTCATTTTTGATTGACTATGTCCTGATTATTTTTTTGTAGAGGTTTGTCATCACTGCTTGTGTGGCTGCATCCAGCTTTAGGTGAAGCTGMGGGACCTGATGCTTTTTATTTGTGTTACTATTAAATATTAACAGAGGCTGATTGTTATGAGCTAAGTGTTACGTTTAACATGGCATGAAATAATTTCTAATTATAATTACTTGAACACACTTCTTTTTTTCACCATATTGYCACATCCACAGCCTTGTGTGAGTTCCATCTTGGATAAATTTCCATCTCTGAAACAGCTTAGAGGCTGAATCCTACCTTGGTTGTATCATGATTGTGGAGAAAGGTGCTCTCATGTGAATAATTGTTCAGTACAGCTTTTAGCCATGGGGACTGCTGTGTTGAGAACTTCTCATAAAATCTGCTTAACCTGTGAGATAAATAAGATTGAAACCTGCTTCTCCAGGAGACGAGTAACCTAGGAAAAATGAATTGGTAAATGCTGTGCTTGTCCGAGCTGGGAATGTTTGAATGCTGGATTCAGATGTCAGTAGGAAGTCAGATGTTTTCCTCCTTGTGGAGACCTTTTCACCTCGCTGGCTTTTACTTGCTGAAGGGTGAGAATCAGCTGTCCTTATGAGTTTGCTGATGAAGTACTCCTCTGTCTGCCAATTAGAAATGGGGGGCAAAAATTGCTTTCCTTGTCTTTCTGCAATTTGGTTTAATTGTTAGTTTAGTATTGACGTGGTGAGGTATGGACTCTGGCTTTCTTAATATTTTAGTATAAATATAATAAATGTGGTCTTTATGTGTGCTTTGCTTCTGTAATGCAATTAGTTATTACAACATTTGTTTTCTTTTCCTTCCMATTTCTTTAAAAACTAAGAAGCATTACCACACGGAACACAGATCTGACTGGTTTGGATAATTTGGTATAAATTTGGAGTCATTCGTATGGTAAAATGCTAGACCTTAGTTTTAATTGGGAAAGTTTGGTATCTGGATACTCTTAGTAAGTTTCTCATGCCACCTGAGCACTCAACAGACCAGATATTAATACTTTGTCTCGGTTGTAATTCTGAAATTGTTTTGCTTAGTTACAAAGAAACCCAAATTTTAGGTTGAAGCTATGAGTGTACCAAAATCTGTGTCTTAGGAAGGTTTAAGTGATGGAAATGGTAATTTCACTGTATGCATTTCACTTAATCAGAAAATTCTTGCAGTGAGACTTATCCTTTCATTTGCAWCTCAAAAAACCCTAAAAATAAAAACTCTACCTAGAGCCCTTGCCAGGATGTAATTTCATTGATTTTTTTTGAATGCCAAATGTAGAAAAAAATTCCATGTTAGTATTTAAGTTTCTGAAACTCCCAGATCACATAACTTTCTGTCCTGTGATCTCAGCTGGCTGGTATTTATGGGCCTTGAATCAGCATCTTTGGTGATGTTGTGAGGGAAGTTTTCATACTGATGAGCTGGTCTGGAATCTAATCTCCTATAATATGGTCATTACAGGGGTTGTGTTAATAGCAACCTTTCAGACCTCTTGAATTCTGCTACTATTTAGTCAAGCTTTTAAACAGTATGTGGGAAGATTCTGTGTTTTATTTAGACTTGAATGAGCACCTTATTGCTCATCTCGAGCTGGAGYTTTTTACTTTGTAGTTTAAGGGTTTTATAGCAATGTGATGCTGACAGAAAAAATGTGGGTTTTTTTCAATCACACAGTTGCATATTTGTTGTATTGTAAATCACAGAATAGCGTTCCTTTCCTTATTGTATTTCAGGGTTTTTTTTGGTTTTTTTTTTTAATTATGATGGCTAAAAAGTCTCAAAAACTGATGTCACAGGCAGGATGAAAGAATTGAGATCACCCATGTCCTAGATTCCCACATTGAGAGAGAGCTTTTTATTGAGACTGCTCATGACAGTAGGAAACGTCCTACATTCCCTCCTGTACATTTCCTTTTGTAAAGAAGTTGCAAGAAATAAACCGAAGCCGTAAGTCCAGCACACTGCYGGATCTTAGAGAAGAAAGTCCTTTTTGGCCCAACTTTGTCACTCAGAGCACATTGGTTAGACCGTCTCACTGGGGGTCTGGAAGTTTTTCTATACCACTGAAAGCAATCTCTTGTTTGCTGTCATTGGTGGCATCCAAAGAAGATTTTAAAAAGTGAAAAGCAAACAAAAGAACATTTTCCAAAAGCCAGATTACATGCTGGGAAGGGAGTGTTGCTCTGGCATTTCTGGATGTGCTTCAGAAGTGTTCAGGGTGCCTGAAGGCATCAGGGGAATATGTTATAAAAAYTGTGTGATAATATGAATTCAGAAATTATGGCCCACGTCATTCTCTCACAGAGTCCCTGACACCTTTTTATAAAGATCTTTCTAAAAGATTTTAAATTTATCATTCATATTGGACTTCGGGGAGGATGGTCCTTTCATCTCATCATTCCAGAATTTAGGATTTGGCTATTAAGTTCCTSTCTAAGAATAGCCAGGACTGATAAATATCCATTATTTTGTAGCTGCACAGCAYTGAAAGAAAGAAATGGCAGCTGGGACACTTCTGCAGTGTAATGCCCCATGGACCAGAGCTACCGAAGATTTAGTTTTTATTTGTCACTGCCCAGGTATAATTTGATTGGTAATAAATTAAGCCAACTCTGCAAGTTTCTGGTCATTTGAAATATGTCGAACTGATTAGAAATTATATGGAAATGATAATCACTAAATGACTCGTGAATCAGTGTGAGCTGCTTAAAATGTCTGTCAAATTTGGTTTCATTACATAATATTCTCTAGATCCATCCACGTGTTGTTATTGAGTGTTTTTTTGTCCAAGTAAGACCTGCAGATGAATCAGTGCACCTGGCTGCACTGGAGGCAACTTTGGCACCTGAGTGGCTCCTTGAAACAGGGTTTGATCACTGGCCCAGGGCTTGTGCAAGGACATCTGTCTGAGGAGAGTCCTTCACTCCATTTGGGGAAGCTGGCAGGGGCTGGGAACTGGGCTCCAGCTGCCTCTTCTGCAGGCAGGAGCTCATCCTTGTACCTCCCCATGAGCTCCARTGTGGTCATCTTGACTCAGAATCCCTTCACTGCTGTCTCTTTTTGGCAATGTTATGTCACGCTGCAGCATATCAGCTGCTGCAGACACATCCAAGGCTGTGTTTTAAACTCTGTTGAACTAGTCAGGAAGAGATAAAACTTGTGTATAGTCAGATCTGTAAAGCGAGCTACAGTAAACTTTGTTTCAATTAAAGGAAGAGTATTTACTCTGCCTTTATCTGCTGGTTTAATAATGTGATTTAAAATCGCATCTTCAGTGGCATGTGGACAATTTCATTGTGCAGGCCAGCTCTCAGTCAGATCAAAACTTCCTTAAATCAGCGGGTTGGGACTGAGAGCTCTCAGATGCTGCTCTGATACGGTCATGGGTTTTTTCTTTCTTTGTATATCTGTGTGAGATACATACATTGTAAACCCAAGAAACTGTAAATATTTATTCACCACTCTTTCTTTGTCCTTACAGTGGGAATTGTTCTTTCCTACTGTCTGCAGTACACTAAAGTCCTGCAGCAAAATGTGCTTATGTAAAACAAGTAATTATTAGACKGAGATCTTAAATAGAAAATTGATGTGACTTGAATCTTTAGGGAAAATGTTTTTCTAGTAGAAGTTCTTCCTTGTCCCTCTCCCCCAGGAGTGGCAGTGACTTCTGACAACATATTTAATTCTCCAGTTTTTGTTGTATTTTATTTTTTTTTCCTGTGACTGGTAAATATCCCTCTGGGCTAAGTGTGACTTTGGAAAATCAGGTAAGATTGGTATATGAGTAATTCACAAATAGGAAGCCCATTCTTTCACTGCCTGGGTCATCAGCTGATGACTGTTGTAAAAACAAATCATGTCCCTCCCTGTTTTCTTCAAAACTTTTCTAGTGTAACAGCTTCTCTAGTCCACAGAAATTWATCAAGATTTAGTAAATTGGTAGCAATTATTAACAACTCTGGAAACTGGGTTGAGCTGGACTGTTTGTCCAGAGTAAATATTCCAATCATAATCAATTTTTACGCTTTGAATAAATGTAAAACTGTAGCATTTTATTGGAACTATGTGGAATTTCAGTGGCTTTTGTTTAATGTTTGAAATAAAACTGGTTCTAACAGTGCAAATGTGTGTTGTCCTTGGGGATCCTTGAGGATTGATTCCGTTTGAGGTGGGTGTAGGTGTAGAGAAGACAAGCTGGACTCATGACTGAAAGGACAGCCCTGCTTATGGTTTAAGAAATCATGGGTTTTTAATCATGCAAAACAGGTGTAGCATCTTTTTCATCCATCTTGAAATAACTTGGTAAAAACTGACTTATTAATGGTRAATTCTGTGTTCATTTAACATGTTTGTGTATTTTAAGAGAAAAAAAGTAAGTGCAAGTTCAACCAGACTTCRTTCATTTTTTGGTGATGTCTAAGCAAGTTCTTTTTGCTTTTTCACAGCTTTTGCTCTAAACATGATTTTTGTTGATAAAATCATTAATCTTAAAAATTTTCTTTTCTTCTTTGTTTTTCAATGCAGTGGGAAGAGATTAGTGGTGTTGACGAGCATTACACTCCGATCAGAACATACCAAGTGTGCAATGTCATGGATCACAGCCAGAACAACTGGCTGCGGACAAACTGGATCCCRCGCAACTCGGCTCAGAAGATCTACGTGGAGCTCAAGTTCACCCTGAGGGACTGCAATAGCATCCCCCTGGTCCTGGGCACCTGCAAAGAGACCTTCAACCTCTATTACATGGAGTCTGACGACGACCACTCGGTCAAGTTCAAGGAGCACCAGTTTACAAAGATCGACACCATCGCGGCTGACGAGAGCTTCACCCAGATGGACCTGGGGGACCGAATCCTCAAGCTGAACACGGAAATCCGTGAGGTGGGGCCCATCAGCAGGAAAGGCTTTTACTTGGCTTTCCAGGACGTGGGCGCRTGCGTGGCCTTGGTGTCGGTGCGGGTGTACTTCAAGAAGTGTCCTTTCACTGTCAAGAACCTCGCCATGTTCCCGGACACRGTGCCCATGGACTCCCAGTCGCTGGTGGAGGTGCGGGGCTCCTGTGTCAACCATTCCAAGGAGGAGGAGCCCCCCAAGATGTACTGCAGCACGGAGGGAGAGTGGCTGGTGCCCATYGGGAAGTGCTTGTGCAACGCCGGCTATGAAGAGAGAGGCTTTGCKTGCCAAGGTAACGATGCCCTCGGTGCTCGGAGTTCGGCCCCGAGCAGGGGCTTCCCCAGCTGTCCCCGCTCTGTGTGTTGGGTTGTGGTGGTTTTCTTCAGGTTCTGGAGAGAAATAAATTAGTTGGTGAAATTGATGTGGAAATGGGGTTTGTTTAAACTGTGTAAATAATATAATTTGCTGAAAGTATTTGATAAGAGTCAGCAACTGATTTTCAGTAACACATTGTGCAGCAAATCTAGCCTCTCTTACCACTCTTGGACTTTCTTTCAGTGTACAATGGTTTTTTAGAATGCTGTTTGTGTCTTCTTTTTTTTTTTTTTTTTTTTTTTTTTTTTTTTTTTTTTTTTTTTTTTTTTAAACTTCCTGGCTTGATGTATGAGTTTTACCACTGAGCTGTGTTGAATAATTGGGATTGGTTGGAAAAAAAACATGTGTTTCTGTTTCTGTAGCATAATTACTAAATGCAGATGCATTTGGAAAATTAATAGTTGAACTTTATTCATAAATAGTCATGTATTTAGCTCAGTTTTCTCCACACTTTTGATTTCTGCAAAGTGTTATGTGAATTGGGAGGTTATGTGAATACCTCCCAAGAACAAAAGTACACTGGGGATATGGAATTTTTACAGAAATGATCTTTTAAATGCTAGAGAAATGACTTTTAAATGATCTTTTAAATGCTAGAGAAAATCCTATTTTACTTACTAACTTTAATATCAACCAAGGTGGTGGCAGCTAAAATTTTTTTGCTTTTTACAAAATTACATTTTGAAGTTTTGTTCTAATTCAATCTTTTCACAGAGTGCCTTGAAGGGTGCTGGTTGTGGCAAAGGTTCTTCCATCAAATATATAAGTAATAGYGAAACAGTAATATCTGGAAATCCCATGGAAGGAGTAGTAGCTGAGGTGTTTATTGTGAGGTGTGTGTATGTGTAGAACAGAAATTTAAAGTATTCTGAACCTGGCTGGGCAGTGCCTCCTACTTTTTAATCAGTCCTACAGCAGTAATTAKGTCAAACAAGTAAGTCCTGGGGAGCTATTGAGAACCCACCAAACCATAGGCAGGTGGTTGTGAAAAGTGTAACTCTAATTAACCTGAATTTTTCTCAGAAAATGCCCGGGAGATGTCTGGGGAAAGGGGTAAGAGTGTGTTTGCTTTGATTTTTCTTTTAGGTAGATTTTAAGTAATTCTTGTGCTTGTATAAATTGRGTAGCCAAGTCTGAGGTGCTTTTTTGATGTTAGATACTGATATTAAGAAAAAAAACCAAATTCTTCTGTTAGGAGCTGAATTCAGGGGAGGATATTTTAATGTTATGAAATACTTTATCCAGGACCTCCTATAGCTGCACTTAGAAATGCCAAAACATGAGTGATACTCTTATCCACTGTGTATAGTCTTACTTGCTTGTTCTTGTAAATGGTTGGAAGCTCTTGGTTTTGAATTTCAGTTACATGTGAGCACTCCAGAAAGTGACAGGCTACAACTGAGCAAAAGGAAAGCTAAATAAATTAAACTAAACTCAACTTTTATTTAAAAGAAGTACTCAAATGCTTGGGGCAGGCAAGGCAGCTCCTTCTGAGTCCTGCAGAGAAAATCAGACTGTATATTGAATATAATTTTCTGTTTTGCTTTTTTTTTCTTCCTCCCATGCTTTTTTCCCCCTGTTTTTGCTTCCTCACTCACTGTGAGRGAGAAACTCAAGGGGGTTATATATGTTATACATGATGAAGCCATAAGCAATAACAATGGATCCTTCTGGTTTATTCTTATTTAGCATMGAATGTTCTGCTGACTTTTATTGGAAGTCATATTGATCAGGTTCTTTCAGTGTGGTGTGATTGAAGTAGCTCTCTAAAAGCAGGAACTCAAAACCTCCTGTTTGTTATTGGTAACTCAGCAGGAGTTGGAAAGCTCAGAAAACCACTTCATTTCGGACCTCAGGCTCAAGGCTGCTACTGCATCTTTCCTTTTCTTTCTCTTCTCTCATTCTCTTACTCCATCTTTTAGGGTGTTTAAGGATTTTCATGTTTTTKGSGKTTTTTTTTTGCTTTRTCAAGAAARGGGCAATAGAATCAGGATYGKAGTGKCTGACAAAGATCCAAAATGGTGTTGCAAGCATGGGCTGGCAGGAAGGCATTTAGGGAAAATAAGTTTCAGTAGAAGTTTGAAGGAGTAATTAGTAACAGAAGTTATTGTCTTCCCAGTAGCTGAAACCATTTTACTGCTTAGTGTCTGTCACTGCTTGATCCTCCATTCAGAGTATTGCTGATTTTGTTTGTTTCCATAATGCTGTTTCCATAAACAATGTCATTTTGCATTAGCAGGAGATCATCACTGATGATTAAAATGAAGAACCTCAGTGGTCTAAGATCAGCCTATTTAAATTACATTCAGAACAGCTTTTCTTTGTACTTGGAAACTTTGGCACAGTCATGGCATTCCAAATAACACAAATTCCACCAATTTCCTTGACTTCTTTCTTTTCTCTGCATAACCAGGAAAAGTCAAAGCAAAGCTCAGASCATTTTCTGTTATTGGTGCAGGTTTTTATCACATATTTGTATGTAAGCTGTGAAAAGCCAGCTGAGCTGACTGGTTCTTGCTGAATGGAATATWGTTTTCATCTGGATCCCACTGACTAATAAACATTTTACTTGTACAGCAGCAACTTCCCTAGCTGTCAGTGAAAGAATTTCACTGTGATCATCCTYGTTCTGTTTATTGTGGAGAAATGATTTCTTAAAAGTGAATTGTAGACCTCACTTTGAAGAATTCTGGTGTTTGTGACGCACTTTAGATTAAGAGCTTAAGTTTTAGTACCTCCCCTAGCAAATATTTGTGCACCTGCTCAGTGTTTTGGAGGGATTAGATTTGTCTGAAGTAAAGTAAGATCTGCGGAGCAAGTTGGAAAAGCTACCCTTTCATACCTGTTTTCACCCTAATTCATATAGATGTTGGTTAATTAAAATGGTATTTATCATTACTGTAAACTGTAATGTACAAACACTGTAAACTGTTTGTTACTACAGCTTTGTCATCATCACAGTGATCCTATTTAATCTTATTGTAATATTTTGTGGTAATATTCTTCCTCACAATGTCTTTTAAAACTTATGTTTTCATGCCACTTTGACCAAACTACATCTTTATGGCATCATCTCTCTTAGAATTAGTGTATTTTAATTAGGAAGAAAACCCAGCTGGCTGGAGATACACACTGAGCTTAATGCTTTCTAATAATCTCCGTCCTGTTCCTCAACCAACAAGGAAAAGCCATCTTTTCAATTTGCTCCCCATCAAACAGGCACAGCAGATCAGGTCAGAGGTTTGTCTGTCTGAATATTCTTTATCTGACAGTGACTAATGGTCTCCTCCTAAAGAAACTAAGGCAAAGGATAAGAAACTCAATATTAAGTGCTGCTTTCCTGGGTAAAATCTCTGTCAATCTACTGTTGAATTTTTAATATTTAAGATAATTTTGTAAGAACAACTATGTGCAGTAGGAATCAGTGACCAGTCACTTGTTAATTTGTCTGTATTTTGACTCATTGATATTTTTAGTCTCACATTTTTATGGCAATGAATGCCATGTCTTGCCTTTTGTGGAAAACACAACTTCCTGCTGTGTCTCTTTTAGAGTCACTGGGGTAAAGTTTTCCATGTCCCTGTATATGAAAAAAACCTGTTCTCTTTTCATCTTCCATATGAACAAATTTCAAGATCTCTTTCATKTCTAATATCTTATCTCTAACACCTCTTTTCTGAACTCTTCCTCTCTACTAGTGCCTTCTGTCTGAAGGTTGGTTAGTTGGAGTATTGATATGATAATAAATGGGAAAATGTAGGATAAATGTTAGAAAAACTATTTGTAGTTTTCTGTAATGATCTACTTCCTCAGAAAAATAATGAGAGCCTCATTTCAGGACTTGTTTTTAAAAAACTGCAGGAACCAGGTGATAAAGGAAATCTTGCCCTGGCAGGTTTGGCCTATATAAATAATAAATCTTTTCCGTCCTGAATGTGGCTATTCTGTTTTTGGCTAATTTCATGCACTTCAGAAAGATTAGCTGGACATGGAGAATGTTATTTTTCATTACAATATACTTAATTAGGAAGCAAGTGGGCAATTGTTTATCCATGTGGGACTATGAGTGAGCTTGGATGCTCTTTTGAACGCTTCCAACAGGTSACCCTCTAGACCAAACCCAAGTTTTCTGGCTCCAGAATGGAAAATTTAAATTGGTGGGCCTGAAAAGAATAATTCTAAAAGCACAGCATAACATTTCCTGCATTGTATTGTTTCAACATATATTTCTACATTTTAGTTRCATTTAGTTGGAATTAAGTCTGAACTGTAAATTTCCTATGTAATACTGTGTAATAAAGTTGTAACTTTTAACCATGAGTGACTCATACATTTTCTGTAACAAAGCCAGAAGAAAAAAGAGAATGTAACCCAACATTTCTTCCTTATGTATTTAACTTTTAGCTATTAATCAGGTGGATTGAATGGGAGAAAAGGGAGTCAGGRTAAAGGAGAGAGAGGTTAAGTTCACCCACTGTGCCTGGTTATTGCAAAAATGACTTCACAAAATTTCCCTTAACACTAAATTTTTCAGTGCTTCAAGTTGTGCAGTGAGCRTCTCCTAAATCATATTTCTCTCTCTGAGTTTCTGGAGATATGAAAGGAATGCCATCTGTGGCTGCTAAATCTGAACCATCACATACAGTGCTTAATTCTTTGAGTGGAATGAATGATGCACTTGAGGTAAAAATATGTAAAACATCATTAATGCTAAGGAAGCAAACCATTTCTCCAGACTGCTTTTTATTTTTTTCTATGCTTTAAATAACCATTTTGTCTCTGCATAAGTAAATCCAATTTTTACTTTCCTAGATCAATAGGGAAAAAGAAATTACAAACTTYGTATGTAAAGAGAAAAAGATACTGTTAGGAGCTACTCAATTTTGTGCTAGTGAAAACAGGCTGAAGGCACAAATGCTTTTTGGAATTAGTTGAGTGGCTTGGATGTGTTGCTTACACTRCAAAAGTGTGTGGCCTTAGACTCTGCACAGGAGCAATTATATTTAATAAAATGTAGGAACTGATCATATGTA